TGTACTAAAATATGAACTTAGAACGCCGTAATCTTTAAATTCCCAAGCCGTGATAGCTCAGTTGGGAGAGCGTTAGACAGAAAACCTAAAGGTCCCTGGATCAATCCCGGGTCGCGGCAAGTAATATTTTAAAAAACGAATTTGAGAAAAAGCGGACAACACTGTTTTTCATTAGGAAGCTGTCATTTTCTAACTCAGATTTGGAAAAAAAACTAATTGAAAAAAAGCTGCTAAAATGTACGAAAAAAAGAAATTTCAAACTCGAAACAATTGCATTTTTGAACCCAACAATTATAGATTGAAAACTTTTGGCCAAATTCAAACCCAGAAATTGTAGAACAGAGTAAACGAAAGTTACGGAACTACTCTTTCTTGTAATTTACAAATAAACTTATCCTCAGAAATTCTAACCGCAGCAAAAAAATTCAACACTTACTGGTTATATAGTATCTTGTACTAAAATATGAACTTAGAACGCCGTAATCTATAACTTCACAAGCCGTGATAGCTAAGTTGGGAGAGCGTTAGACTGAAGGTCTAAAGGTCCCTGGTTCGATCCCGGGTCGCGGCATGTAATATTTTAAAAAACGAATTTGAGAAAAAGCTGACAACACTGTTTTTCATTAGGAAGCTGTCATTTTCTAACTCAGATTTGGAAAAAAAACAAATTGAAAAAAGCTGCGAAAATGTAAAAAACTGAAATTTCAAACTCGAAACAGTTGCATTATTGAACTCAACAATTATAGGTTGAAAATTTTTGGCCAAATTGAAACCGAGAAACCGTAGAACAGAGTAAACAAAAGTTACGAAACTACTCACTCTTGTGATTTACAAATTAACTTATCCTCAGAAAATCTAACCGCTGCAAAAAATTCAACACTATGCGGTTCTATAGTACCTTGTACTAAAATATGAACTTAGAACGCCGTAATCTTTAAATTCCCAAGCCGTGATAGCTCAGTTGGGAGAGCGTTAGACTGAAAATCTAAAAGTCCCTGGATCACTCCCGGGTCGCGGCAAGTAATATTTTAAAAAACGAATTTGAGAAAAAGCTGACAACACTGTTTTTCATTAGAAAGCTGTCATTTTCCAACTCAGATTTGGAAAAAAACTAATTGAAAAAAAGCTGCGAAAATGAAAAAAACTGAAATTTCAAACTCGAAACAATTGCATTATTGAACCCAACAATTATAGGTTGAAAATTTTTGGCCAAATTGAAACCGAGAAACCGTAGAACAGAGTAAACAAAAGTTACGAAACTACTCACTCTTGTGATTTACAAATTAACTTATCCTCAGAAAATCTAACCGCTGCAAAAAATTCAACACTATGCGGTTCTATAGTACCTTGTACTAAAATATGAACTTAGAACGCCGTAATCTTTAAATTCCCAAGCCGTGATAGCTCAGTTGGGAGAGCGTTAGACTGAAAATCTAAAAGTCCCTGGATCACTCCCGGGTCGCGGCAAGTAATATTTTAAAAAACGAATTTGAGAAAAAGCTGACAACACTGTTTTTCATTAGAAAGCTGTCATTTTCCAACTCAGATTTGGAAAAAAACTAATTGAAAAAAAGCTGCGAAAATGAAAAAAACTGAAATTTCAAACTCAAAACAATTGCATTATTGAACCCAACAATTATAGGTTGAAAATTTTTGGCCAAATTGAAACCCAGAAACCGTAGAACAGAGTAAACAAAAGTTACGAAACTACTCACTCTTGTGAGTTACAAATTAACTTATCCTAAGAAAATCTAACCGCTGCAAAAAATTCAACACTATGCGGTTCTATAGCATCTTGTACTAAAATATGAAATTAGAGTGCCGTAATCATTAACTTCCCAAGCCGTGTTAGCTCAGTTGGGAGAGCGTTCGAATGAAGATCGAAAGGTCCCTGGTTCGATCCCGGGTCGTGGCAACTAATATTTAAAAAACTGAATTTGAGAAAAAGCTGACAACACTGTTTTTCATTAGAAAGCTGTCATTTGCTAACTCAGATTTGGAAAAAAACTAACTGAGAAAAAGCTGCGAAAATGTAAAAAACTGAAATTTTGAAATCGAAATAATTCCATTATTGAACCCAACAATTATAGGTTGAAAACTTTTGGCCAAATTCAAACCCAGAAACCGTAGAACAGAGTAAACAGAAGTTACGAAACTACTCACTCTTGTGATTTACAAATAAACTTACCCTCAGAAATTCTAACCGCAGCAAAAAATTCAACATTAACCGGTTATATAGTATCTTGTACTAAAATACGAAATTAGAACGCCGTAATCTTGACCTCCCAAAGCCGTGATAGCTCAGTTGGGAGAGCGTTAGACTGAAAATCTAAAAGTCCCTGGATCAATCCCGGGTCGCGGCAAGTAATATTTTAAAAAACGAATTTGAGAAAAAGCTGACAACACTGTTTTTCTTTAGAAAGCTGTAATTTTCTAACTCAGATTTGGAAAAAAACTAATTGAAAAAAAGCTGCGAAATCGAAAAAAACTGAAATTTCAAACTCGAAACAATTGCATTTTTGAACCCAACAATTATAGATTGAAAACTTTTGGCCAAATTCAAACCCAGAAATTGTAGAACAGAGTAAACGAAAGTTACGGAACTACTCTTTCTTGTGATTTACAAATAAACTTATCCTCAGAAATTCTAACCGCAGCAAAAAATTCAACACTTACTGGTTATATAGTATCTTGTACTAAAATATGAACTTAGAACGCCGTAATCTTTAACTTCACAAGCCGTGATAGCTAAGTTGGGAGAGCGTTAGACTGAAAGTCTAAAGGTCCCTGGTTCGATCCCTGGTCGCGGCATGTAATATTTTTAAAAACGAATTTGAGAAAAAGCTGACAACACTATTTTTCATTAGGAAGCTGTCATTTTCTAACTCAGATTTGGAAAAAAAAACAAATTGAAAAAAAGCTGCGAAAATGTAAAAAACTGAAACTTCAAACTCGAAACAGTTGCATTATTGAACTCAACAATTATAGGTTGAAAATTTTTGGCCAAATTGAAACCGAGAAACCGTAGAACAGAGTAAACAAAAGTTACGAAACTACTCACTCTTGTGATTTACAAATTAACTTATCCTCAGAAAATCTAACCGCTGCAAAAAAATTCAACACTATGCGATTCTATAGTACCTTGTACTAAGATATGAACTTAGAACGCCGTAATCTTTAAATTCCCAAGCCGTGATAGCTCAGTTGGGAGAGCGTTAGACTGAAAATCTAAAAGTCCCTGGATCAATCCCGGGTCGCGGCAAGTAATATTTTAAAAAACGAATTTGAGAAAAAGCTGACAACACTGTTTTTCATTAGAAAGCTGTCATTTTCCAACTCAGATTTGGAAAAAAACTAATTGAAAAAAAGCTGCGAAAATGAAAAAAACTGAAATTTCAAACTCGAAACAATTGCATTATTGAACCCAACAATTATAGGTTGAAAATTTTTGGCCAAATTGAAACCCAGAAACCGTAGAACAGAGTAAACAAAAGTTACGAAACTACTCACTCTTGTGAGTTACAAATTAACTTATCCTCAGAAAATCTAACCGCTGCAAAAAATTCAACACTATGCGGTTCTATAGCATCTTGTACTAAAATATGAACTTAGAACGCCGTAATCATTAACTTCCCAAGCCGTGTTAGCTCAGTTGGGAGAGCGTTAGAATGAAGATCGAAAGGTCCCTGGTTCGATCCCGGGTCGTGGCGCAACTAATATTTAAACAACTGAATTTGAGAAAAAGCTGACAACACTGTTTTTCATTAGAAAGCTGTCATTTTCTAACTCAGATTTGGAAAAAAACTAACTGAGAAAAAGCTGCGAAAATGTAAAAAACTGAAATTTTGAAATCGAAATAATTCCATTATTGAACCCAACAATTATAGGTTGAAAACTTTTGGCCAAATTCAAACCCAGAAACCGTAGAACAGAGTAAACAGAAGTTACGAAACTACTCACTCTTGTGATTTACAAATTAACTTACCCTCAGAAATTCTAACCGCAGCAAAAAATTCAACATTAACCGGTTATATAGCATCTTGTACTAAAATACGAAATTAGAACGCCGTAATCTTGACCTCCCAAATCCGTGATAGCTCAGTTGGGAGAGCGTTAGACTGAAGATTTAAAGGTCTCTGGTTCGATCCCGGGTCGCGGCAAGTATTATTTTGAAAAATGAATTTGAGAAAAAGCTGACAACACTGTTTTTCATTAGAAAGATCATTAGAAAGCTGTCATTTTCTAACTCAGATTTGGAAAAAAAACTAATTGAAAAAAAGCTGCGAAAATGTAGAAAAACTGAAATTTCAAACTCAAAACAATTGCATTATTGAACCCAACAATTATAGGTTGAAAACTTTTGGCCAAATTGAAACCCAGAAACCGTAGAACAGAGTAAACAAAAGTTACGGAACTACTCACTCTGGTGATTTACAAATTAACTTACCCTCAGAAATTCTAACCGCAGCAAAAAATTCAACATTAAGCGGTTATATAGTATCTTGTACTAAAATACGAAATTAGAACGCCGTAATCTTCACCTCCCAAAGCCGTGATAGCTCAGTTGGGAGAGCGTTAGACTGAAGATTTAAAGGTCCCTGGTTCGATCCCGGGTCGCGGCAAGTATTATTTTGAAAAATGAATCTGAGAAAAAGCTGACAACACTGTTTTTCATTAGAAAGCTGTCATTTTCTAACTCAGATTTGGAAAAAAAAACTAATTGAAAAAAAGCTGCGAAAATGTAGAAAAACTGAAATTTCAAACTCAAAACAATTGCATTATTGAACCCAACAATTATAGGTTGAAAATTTTTGGCCAAATTCAAACCCAGAAACCGTAGAACAGAGTAAACAAAAGTTACGAAACTACTCACTCTTGTGATTTACAAATAAACTTACCCTCAGAAATTCTAACCGCAGCAAAAAATTCAACACTTAGCGGTTATATAGTATCTTGTACTAAAATATGAACTTAGAACGCCGTAATCTTCAACTTCCAAAGTCGTGATAGCTCAGTTGGGAGAGCATTAGACTGAAGATCGTAAGGTCTCTGGTTCGATCCCGGGTCGTGGCAAGTAATATTTTAAAAAATGAATCTGAGAAAAAGCTGACAACACTGTTTTTCATTAGAAAGCTGTCATTTTCTAACTCAGATTTGGAAAAAAAAACTAATTGAAAAAAAGCTGCGAAAATGTAGAAAAACTGAAATTTCAAACTCAAAACAATTGCATTATTGAACCCAACAATTATAGGTTGAAAATTTTTGGCCAAATTCAAACCCAGAAACCGTAGAACAGAGTAAACAAAAGTTACGAAACTACTCACTCTTGTGATTTACAAATAAACTTACCCTCAGAAATTCTAACCGCAGCAAAAAATTCAACACTTAGCGGTTATATAGTATCTTGTACTAAAATATGAACTTAGAACGCCGTAATCTTCAACTTCCAAAGTCGTGATAGCTCAGTTGGGAGAGCATTAGACTGAAGATCGTAAGGTCTCTGGTTCGATCCCGGGTCGTGGCAAGTAATATTTTAAAAAATGAATTCGAGAAAAAGCTGACAACACGGTTTTTCATTAGAAAGCTGTCATTTTCTAACTCAGATTTGGAAAAAAACTAATTGAGAAAAAGCTCGAAAATGTAAAATACTGAAATTTCAAAATCAAAATATTTGCAATATTGAACCCATCAATTATAGGTTGAAAACTTTTGGCCAAATTCAAACCCAGAAACCGAAGAACAGAGTAAACAAAAGTTACGAAACTTCTCACTCTTGTGATTTACAAATAAACTTATCCTCAGAAATTCTAACCGCAGCAAAAAATTCAACACTTAGCGGTTATATAGTATCTTGTACTAAAATATGAACTTAGAACGCCGTAAACTTCAACTTCCAAAGTCGTGATAGCTCAGTTGGGAGAGCGTTAGACTGAAGATCGTAAGGTCCCTGGTTCGATCCCGGGTCGTGGCAAGTAATATTTTAAAAAATGAATTCGAGAAAAAGCTGACAACACGGTTTTTCATTAGAAAGCTGTCATTTTCCAACTCAGATTTGGAAAAAAACTAATTGAGAAAAAGCTCGAAAATGTAAAATACTGAAATTTCAAAATCAAAATATTTGCAATATTGAACCCATCAATTATAGGTTGAAAACTTTTGGCCAAATTCAAACCCAGAAACCGTAGAACGACGTAAGCAAAAGTTACGAAACTACTCACTCTTGTGATTTACAAATTAAAATATCCTCAGAAATTCTAACCGCAGCAAAAAATTCAACACTTAGCGGTTATATAGTATCGTGTACTAAAATACAAACCTAGAACGCCGTAATCTTCAACTTCCTAAGCCGCGATAGCTCAGTTGGGAGAGCGTTAGACTGAAGATCTAAAGGTCCCTGGTTCGATCCCGGGTCGCGTCAAGTAATATTGATTAAATGATTTTGAGAAAAAGCTTACAAAACTGTTTTTCATTAAAAAACTGTCATTTTCTAACTCAGATTTGGAAAAAAACTAATTGAGAAAAAGCTCGAAAATGTAAAATACTGAAATTTCCGAATAAAAATATTTGCAATATTGAACCCATCAATTTTAGGTTGAAAACTTTTGGCCAAATTCAAACCCAAAAACCGTAGAACGACGTAAGCAAAAGTTACGAAACTACTCACTCTTGTGATTTACAAATTAAATTATCCTCAGAAATTCTAACCGCAGCAAAAAATTCAACACTTAGCGGTTATATAGTATCGTGTACTAAAATACAAACTTAGAACGCCGTAATCTTCAACTTCCCAAGCCGCGAGGGCTCAGTTGGGAGAGCGTTAAACTGAAGATAATAAGGTACCTGGTTCGATCCCGGGTCGCGGCAAGTAATATTTAAAAAAATGATTTTGAGAAAAAGCTGACAAAACTGTTTTTCATTAGAAAGCAAGCTTTCATTTTCTAAATCGAAATAATTGCATTATTGAACCCAACAATTATAGGTTGAACACGTTTGGCTAAATTCAAACCCAGAAACCGTAGAACGACGTAAACAAAAGTACCGAAACTACTCACTCTTGTGATTTACAATTTATCCTCAGAAATTCGGACCTCAGCAAAAAATTCAACACTTAGCGGTTATATAGTATCTTGTACTAAAATATGAACTTAAAACGCCGTAATCTTTAACTTCCCAAGACGTGATAGCTTAGTTGGGAGAGCTTTGACTGAAGATCTAAAGGTCCTTGGATCGATCCCGGGTCGCGGCAAGTAATATTTTAAAACCTGAATTTGAGAAAAAGCTGACAAAACTTTTGTTACTTAGAAAGCAAGCTGTCATTTTCTAACTCAGATTTGCAAAAAAAAACTTTCTGAACAAATCTGAGAAAGTCTGAAAAAGTGAAATTTCGAAATCGAAAGAGTTGCATTATTGAACCCTGCAATTATAGGTTGAAAATTTTTGGTCAAATTCAAACCCAGAAACCGTAGAACAAAGTAAACAAAAGTTACGAAACTACTCGCTTTTGTGATTAACAAATTAACTTATCCTCGGAAATTCTAACCGCAGCAAAAAATTCAACACTTAGCGGTTATATAGTATCTTGTACTAAAATATGAACTTAGAACGCCATAATCTTCACCTTCCCAAGCCGTGATAGCTCAGTTGGGAGAGCGTTAGACTGAAGTTCATTAGGTCCCTGGTTCGATCCCGGGTCGTGGCAAGTATTGTTTTAAAAATTGAATTGGAGAAAAAGCTGACAACACTGTTTTTCATTAGAAAGCTGTCATTTTCTAACTCCGATTTAGAAAAAAACTATTTGAAAAAAAAGCTGCGAAAATGTAAAAAACTGAAATTTCAAACTCGAAACAATTGCAATATTGAACCCGACAATTATAGGTTGAAAATTTTTGGCCAAATTCAAACCCAGAAACCGTAGAACAGAAATCTACGTAAACAAAAGTTCCGTGAACAAAAGTTACGAAACTACTCACTCTTGTGATTTACAAATTAACTTATCCTCAGAAATTCTAACCGCAGCAAAAAATTCAACACTTAGCGGTTATATAGTTTCTTGTACTAAAATATGAACTTAAAACACCGTAATCTTTAACTTCCCAAGCCGTGATAGCTCAGTTGGGAGAGCGTTAGACTGAAAATCTTAAGGTCTCTGGTTCGATCCCGGGTCGCGGCAAGTAATATTTTAAAAAATATATTTGAGAAAAAGATGACAAAACTTTTGTTCCTTAGAAAGCAAGCTGTCATTTTCTAACTCAAATTTGCAAAAAAAAACTTTTGAACAAATCTGAGAAAATCTGAAAAAGTGAAAATTCGAAACAGAAAGAGTTGCATTATTGAACCCTGCAATTATAGGTTGAAAATTTTTGGCCAAACTCAATCCCAGAAACCGTAGAATAGAGTAAACAAATGTTACAAAACTACTCACTCTTGTGATTTACAAATTAACTTATCCTCAGAAAATCTAACCGCAGCAAAAAATTCAACACTTAGCGGTTATAGGTCCCTGGTTAGCGGTTATCTTGTACTAAAAAATGAACTTAAAACGCCGTAATCTTTAACTTCCCAAACCGTGATAGCTCAGTTGAGAGAGCGTTAGACTGAAGATCTAAAGGTCCCTGGTTCGATCCCGGGTCGCGGCAAGTAATATTTTAAAAAATGAATTTGAGAAAAAGCTGACAAAACTTTTGTTCCTTAGAAAGTAAGCTGTCATTTTCTAACTCAGATTTGCAAAAAAAAAACTTCCTGAACAAATCTGAGAAAATCTGAAAAATTGAAAATTCGAAATCGAAAGAGTTGCATTATTGAACCCTGCAATTATAGGTTGAAAATTTTTGGCCAAACTCAAACCCAGAAACCGTTGAACAAAGTAAACAAAAGTTACGAAACTACTCACTCTTGTGATTTACAAATTACCTCATCCTCAGAAAATCCAACCGCAGCAAAAAATTCAACACTTAGCGGTTATATAGTATCTTGTACTAAAATATGAACTTAGAACGCCGTAATCTTAAACTTCCCAAGCCGTGATAGCTCAGTTGGGAGAGCGTTGGACTGAAGATCTAAAGGTCCCTGGTTCGATCCCGGGTCGCGGCAAGTAATATTTTAAAAAATGAATTTGAGAAAAAGCTGTGAACACTGTTTTTCATTAGAAAGATGTCATTTTCTAACTCAGATTTGGAAAAAAAAACTTCCTGAACAAATCTGAGAAAATCTGAAAAAGTGAAATTTCGAAATCGAAAGAGTTGCATTATTGAACCCTGCATTTATAGGTTGAAAACGTTTGGCTAAATTCAAACCCAGAAACCGTAGAACGACGTAAACAAAAGTACCGAAACTACTCACTCTTGTGATTTACAATTTATCCTCAGAAATTCGGACCTCAGCAAAAAATTCAACACTTAGCGGTTATATAGTATCTTGTACTAAAATATGAACTTAAAACGCCGTAATCTTTAACTTCCCAAGACGTGATAGCTTAGTTGGGAGAGCTTTGACTGAAGATCTAAAGGTCCTTGGATCGATCCCGGGTCGCGGCAAGTAATATTTTAAAACCTGAATTTGAGAAAAAGCTGACAAAACTTTTGTTACTTAGAAAGCAAGCTGTCATTTTCTAACTCAGATTTGCAAAAAAAAAACTTTCTGAACAAATCTGAGAAAGTCTGAAAAAGTGAAATTTCGAAATCGAAAGAGTTGCATTATTGAACCCTGCAATTATAGATTGAAAATTTTTGGTCAAATTCAAACCCAGAAACCGTAGAACAAAGTAAACAAAAGTTACGAAACTACTCGCTTTTGTGGTTAACAAATTAACTTATCCTCGGAAATTCTAACCGCAGCAAAAAATTCAACACTTAGCGGTTATATAGTATCTTGTACTAAAATATGAACTTAGAACGCCGTAATCTTCACCTTCCCAAGCCGTGATAGCTCAGTTGGGAGAGCGTTAGACTGCAGTTCATTAGGTCCCTGGTTCGATCCCGGGTCGTGGCAAGTATTGTTTTAAAAATTGAATTGGAGAAAAAGCTGACAACACCGTTTTTCATTAGAAAGCTGTCATTTTCTAACTCCGATTTAGAAAAAAAACTATTTGAAAAAAAAGCTGCGAAAATGTAAAAAACTGAAATTTCAAACTCGAAACAATTGCAATATTGAACCCGACAATTATAGGTTGAAAATTTTTGGCCAAATTCAAACCCAGAAACCGTAGAACAGAAATCTACGTAAACAAAAGTTCCGTGAACAAAAGTTACGAAACTACTCACTCTTGTGATTTACAAATTAACTTATCCTCAGAAATTCTAACCGCAGCAAAAAATTCAACACTTAGCGGTTATATAGTTTCTTGTACTAAAATATGAACTTAAAACGCCGTAATCTTTAACTTCCCAAACCGTGATAGCTCAGTTGGGAGAGCGTTAGACTGAAAATCTTAAGGTCTCTGGTTCGATCCCGGGTCGCGGCAAGTAATATTTTAAAAAATATATTTGAGAAAAAGATGACAAAACTTTTGTTCCTTAGAAAGCAAGCTGTCATTTTCTAACTCAAATTTGCAAAAAAAAAACTTTTTGAACAAATCTGAGAAAATCTGAAAAAGTGAAAATTCGAAACAGAAAGAGTTGCATTATTGAACCCTGCAATTATAGATTGAACATTTTTGGCCAAAATCAATCCCAGAAACCGTAGAACAGAGTAAACAAAAGTTACAAAACTACTCAACTCTTGTGATTTACAAGTTAACTTATCCTCAGAAAATCTAACCGCAGCAAAAAATTCAACACTTAGCGGTTATAGGTCCCTGGTTAGCGGTTATCTTGTACTAAAAAACGAACTTAAAACGCCGTAATCTTTAACTTCCCAAACCGTGATAGCTCAGTTGGGAGAGCGTTAGACTGAAGATCTAAAGGTCCCTGGTTCGATCCCGGGTCGCGGCAAGTAATAATTTAAAAACTGAATTTGAGAAAAAGCAGACAAAACTTTTGTTCCTTAGAAAGTAAGCTGTCATTTTCTAACTCAGATTTGCAAAAAAAAAACTTCCTGAACAAATCTGAGAAAATCTGAAAAATTGAAAATTCGAAATCGAAAGAGTTGCATTATTGAACCCTGCAAATATAGGTTGAAAATTTTTGGCCAAATTCAAACCCAGAAACCGTTGAACAAAGTAAACAAAAGTTACGAAACTACTCACTCTTGTGATTTACAAATTACCTCATCCTCAGAAAATCCAACCGCAGCAAAAAATTCAACACTTAGCGGTTATATAGTATCTTGTACTAAAATATGAACTTAGAACGCCGTAATCTTAAAACTTCCCAAGCCGTGACAGCTCAGTTGGGAGAGCGTTAGACTGAAGATCTAAAGGTCCCTGGTTCGATCCCGGGTCGCGGCAAGTAATATTTTTAAAAATGAATTTGAGAAAAAGCTGTCAACACTGTTTTTCATTAGAAAGCTGTCATTTTCTAACTCAGAGTTGGAAAAAAGCTAATTGAGAAAAAGCTGCAAAAATGTAAAAAAAAAAACCTGAAATTTCAAAATTGAAAAAATTGCATTATTGAACCCAACAATTATAGGTTGAAAATTTTTGGCCAAATTCAAACCCAGAAACCGTAGAACGACGTAAACAAAAGTTACGAAACTACTTACTCTTGCGATTTACAAATAAACTTATCCTCAGAAATTCTAACCGCAGCAAAAATTCAACATTTAGCGGTTATATAGTATCTTGTACTCAAATATGAACTTAGAACGCCGTAATCTTCAACTACCGAAGTCGTGATAGCTCAGTTCGGAGAGCGTTAGACTGAAGATCATAAGGTACCTGGTTCGATCCCGTGTCGTGGCAAGTAATATTTTAAAAACTTAATTTGAGAAAAAGCTGACAACGCTTTTTTCATTAGAAAGCTGTCTTTTCTTACTCAGATTTGGAAAAAAACTAAATGAGAAAAAGCTGCGAAAATGTAAAAAACTGAAACTTCAAACTCGAAATATTTGCAATATTGAACCCAACAATTATAGATTGAAAATTTTTGGCCAAATTCAAACCCAGAAACCGTAGAACGACGTAAGCAAAAGTTACGAAACTACTCACTCTTGTGATTTACAAATTAACTTATCCTCAGAAATTCTAACCGCAGCAAAACTTCAACATTTAGCGGCTATATAGTATCTTGTACTAAAAAACGAACTTAGAACGCCGTAATCTTTAACTTCCCAAGCCGTGATAGCTCAGTTGGGAGTGCGTTAGACTGAAAATTTAAAGGTCCCTGGTTCGATCCCGGGTCGCGGCAAGCAATATTTTGAAAAATGAATTTGAGAAAAAGCTGACAACACTGTTTTTCATTAGAAAGGTCATTAGAAAGCTGTCATTTTCTAACTCAGATTTGGAAAGAAACTGATTGAAAAAAAGCTGCGAAAATATAAAAAACTGAAATTTCAAACTCGAAACGATTGCATTATTGAACCCAACAATTATAGGTTGAAAATTTTTGGCCAAATTCAAACCCAGAAACCGTAGAACAAAGTAAACAAAAGTTACGAAACTACTCACTCTTGTGATTTACAAATTAACTTATCCTCAGAAAATCTAACCGCAGCAAAAAATTCAACACTTAGCGGTTATATGGTATCTTGTACTAAAATATGAACTTAGAACGCCGTAATCTTCAACTTCCGAAGCCGTGATAGCTCAGTTCGCAGAGCGTTAGACTGAAGATCATAAGGTCCCTGGTTCAACCCCGTGTCGTGGCAAGTAATATTTTAAAAAATGAATTTGAGAAAAAGCTGACAACACTGTTTTTCATTAGAAAGCTGTCTTTTCTAACTCAGATTTGGAAAAAAACTAGATGAGAAAAAGCTGCGAAAATGTAAAAAAACTGAAACTTCAAAATCGAAATAATTGCAATATTGAACCCAACAATTATAGGTTGAAAACTTTTGGCCAAATTCAAACCCAGAAACCGTAGAACGACGTAAAAAAAGTTACAAAACTACTCACTCTTGTGATTTACAAATTAACTTATGCTCAGAAATTCTAACCTTTGCTTGTTATTGACATTTTGCTTGTTAGACTTCAATGCAATAATTTATACTAATTTATAATATCACAACTTGTATATCATCCTCTTAAGAAACTTTTTACGCTTCAATAGGTATTTAGGCTGGTTCACTTTGCATTCGTCAGATCGTGTATTCGATCCCATGACATGGCAATGATAGTGAGTGAGGCCAAGCTCTCACTTGACCTCTAGCTTCAGGTCTACCACAGCCTGACCAATTTTGGCTGTAATAGTGGTAACATGTGAAAGTTCTAGACGCAAAAAAAAACAGCCGAGTTCCAAAAAAGCTTCTCTCAACAAAATAACACAGTCTGGAATGTGGGGAGATAGTACAAATGAACTATCTTCGAGAGGACTGCTAAGGCTTACTGATAGCTGCTCTGCGATTCGCAGGAACTACATTAATTAATAATTAACTGCATTGAAGAAATCGAAGAATAGGCATTCATTTTCGGTTTCAAGCATTGATTGCACTAAATTAGGATTTCAAAAATTGCTAAATCTATATGTATTATAAGTAAGAACCCATAGCACTTAGTGTACACAGTGCTGATTTAAATTATCCGGACAAAACGAACAAAACTTGAATTTTCAAACGCGTTTTTCTCAAATTGGGTTAAGATTAGACAAAAAGTGAAGAGAACAAAAGTTGCTTAGAATTTCACCAGAAATAATATGGTGCCATTTTTTCTCCGAAATTCTCAACAAAAATTTTACCCCAAAAATGGGTCATTTTGGCTTTTTTCAATTAATCAAAAATTACGCAGAAACTACTTTGTTAATTGATGAGAAAATTATATCAAAGGAAGCCTCTTACGCAGCTCAACAAAGGTTAAGAAGGGTTAAATCTCCAAAAACCAGTATAAGAGAAAAAATTATCACTTGATAGTCAATAAATGTGATTTTTACTATATAAAACCCAGAAGTTCTGTTTAAAAAAAAAATTTTAAACAATTTGCGCAAATTTTTGGAGATTTAACCTTTCTTATACTTTGTTGAACTGCGTAAGAGGCTTCCTGTGATATAATTTTCTCATCAATTAACAAAGTAGTTTCTGCGTAATTCTTGATTAATTGAAAAAAGCCAAAATGACCCATTTTTGGGGTAAAATTTTTGTTGAGAATTTCGGAGAAAAAATGGCACCATATTAATTCTGGTGAAATTCTAAGCAACGTTTGTTCTCTTCACTTTTTGTCTAATCTTAACCCAATTTGAGAAAAACGCGTTTGAAAATTCAAGTTTTGTTCGATTTGTCCGGATAATTTAAATCAGCACTGTATAGTAATTAGATTTAATTATATGTTTTTTAAATACTTAGCGGGTTATAAAAAACATTAGAGTGACCTAGCTGAATATAGGAGAACAAACAGCAGCCATTCAGCTTCGCGATTTCTGATTTCAAGCATCGGACTGGTTGCACAAAATTATGACTTCAAAAGTTGCGCATTTTAAATTTGTAAAAACTATTGCATCGCATTCTAGCAAGCGAAAACTCAGAGAACGAATGAATCTTTTTCCTCAATTTTTTTCTTGGTCAATCAAAATACCAACTTAAGAGCTACCGAATCTTTTATAAGGATTATACAACTTTCGAAATCATAATTTAGTGTAACCAATGATCCTAAAATTATAAGCCTCATATAAGGCCCCATAGCACTCAAAAAACTATTTCGATTAACTGAAAAATATTTTTGAATTCATCTATCTAAATGCAGGAAAATTTTCTTCTATCTAAATGCAGTCATCCATTCTCGCAAACACCGTTTCAAATCATTGATAGCGCAAATGATGCTTTCCAAGATTGTATGATTCTTATCAGAGATTTCTGTAGTACTTACATAAGTATATCGATTGGTTAACAAAAAAATGACTCTCCGAGTTAACGGTAGGAGAACAAACAACAGTCATTCATTATCGCAATTTTGCTTTTAAGCATTCATTGCACATAATTATGATTTTAAAGGTTGCATAATCACTAAGCAAAACCCCATAGCACATTAAAAAGGTTTTATTGGTTGAAAAAGGAATTTTAGATTCTCCGAGTTAAACTTAGGAGAGCAAATAATAGGTCATTCCTTCTCGCAATTTTTGCTTTTTGACACTCATTGTTTTAAATATGAACCTAAAGCATTGAAAAGACAATTTTTGGGGAAGGCTTAATTCCTTTTTCTCCAAAATTTGTCTTTGACAACATCAGATTTAGAAAAAGACACTGCCGTTATGCTAAGTTGGGAGAGCGACGCAGTTTCTACAGACTGAAGATCAGTAACTTCATTTGCAAAAGGGGGGATAGTTTAAGCAAGTAAAGTGTCAGTGACGTACATGGTATGTCTTTGAAGGACTTGACTGCCTTGTGGATGTTCTTGAAAGAGTTGGTGACACATGTCTCCACTTGTTCTGCGTCCACACTCTCGAGCACGTCGTTCATCCATGATTCGTACCACTTGGCCCAGTCCGAGGCTGTCATCCACAGGTTGCGGAAGGGCTCGAAGTCCCTGATCAGTTTGTTCACCACGTCGTACTAGAGTAAAAGCATGAATAAATTAAGTGAATTGAGTTTTAGAACACGTAGAGAGTTTTTGAACGTGTTTTTGTGTACTATCATCAGGCTAGTCCAAAAAATTACTTTAGAGATCCAATCATGAAGATGAAACCATTCACTCCTAGCTAAATTCTCATCACGTTGTCGACAATGATGAGGATGATCATCATGGTCTTCAGTATCATCATCAGCGTCTTCAATACTTGTGGGTAAACACTTAAATTAGACTAACTCACTCAGCCAGCTTTTTGTCATGAGAAACTGAAGTGGTTGTCTGGGATCCCAAAAATGGAGAACACTATGTAATTAATACTGGAATGCGTACATTGGTTACGGGTTGGTCGAACAGTCTCTCCCTCTGGTTGTACAGTTGAGCATCTGTCTGTGCCTGCAGGAGGCTCTTGTGAACCCTCCTCACCTCATTGCCAATCTCAACCGCCTTCTGCTTGTCAGTGTAGCCCGCGAACCCAGCCACTGTGATCTAAACACAAACAAACGGTTGTGATTGTAACTTTACAATAAGATACCAGTCTTTTAGTTGCTATTCGAAGTCCTGTTTTAATTCAATTTTTACATTAATCTTATTTTTTTAACTTAGTTATTCTTAAAAAAAAGAATGCCAGTGGTATCCTAATCCTTCATTACGAAACTCTTATCATACCGTGAGAATTTGAAGTTCAGACCAATACACGGGCGAAAAACAAGCTCTCTTCGCTTTCGACTCCAAAAAAGGAAACTTTTCATCGATTTATTGAACGCATTCGCCGAATGTTTTTGTATTGTGACCAGGGCAGATCTACAACCCCCGCCCTGTATGTGATAAAATTGCAGTTGACAATAGTCCTATCCCTCCTTGAAATGTAGCATCTTTCAGACATACCTGGAGTGAATCGATCTTTTCCTGGAATGAGGCCTGGTCTGTCTGCTGTAAAGTGCGGAACCTCTCCTCGTCCGCCAGCAGATTGTCCTCGGTTTGTGCCACCTGCTCCTCGATCTTGTTGGGCCAGAACAGAGCTGTGTACTTAGCATTGAAGTCATCCTGGGACCTAGAGACGAAAAACATGTCAATTGATTTCAAATACGACTAGCGGTTCTCCGCAAAGAGCTGAACAGCTGGTATGTTTGTTTCTTTTTCGTTCGCGGATAAATCGTGTGAACTAACTAAGTAATAGTTCTGAGACGAAACGGAAATTCTATCAAACTTCTTATCTAAACTTTTCTTGGATGTGTTAAGATTAATCAACACTGAGGCGAAGCGGAGTTTCGCAACACTTGCTATGCAAAAACACATTGCGCTACAAAATAGTGAATGAAAAAAAAGACAACAAAAATCTGAATAATTATGTTGGATAAAATTACTTAAAAAAATAACGTGGCAAAAGTTGAAAAATTACAGCTACAAAAACTTCATAATTGTATCGAATGAAGTTCACAAACAGCCCTGAAAAAATGGAAATCACGACCCATCCAAACTGAAACACATAAACCCAAACGGATATATTTTGCACTCGAAATTACGCAAATTAAGTTGACTCTTTCGATATAAAATAAACTGAAACTGAAACCTAGAAAAAGGAAGCCTAGAAGCATCTATTTTCAGTAACAAAAAATACAAATAGTTATAAAAAGTCACTCCCACTAAGCAACTTTTTTATATAAATTTTCAGTTTTATCATTACATTTAAATTACTATGGCCTGTGATTAGTGATGTCCAACATTAAAACTTTCAAAAACGGCTTCATATTAAGTTTTGTCTTTTTTGAAACGCAAAATTGATACCTAAATGGTTAGTTAACCTATTTTGTCGAAAAAATATCGTTTTCTCCTGGCACCTTCAAACAGACCGACGGCTTAATGCTGAGCGTTTATCAATATCTGCATTTATCAATATCTGCATGCCATATGTAACTGCTTTGCCATGGCTATGGTTCATTATGGTTCGGTTGCTTCATTAGGGGTACTGTCTGTGGACTACTCACAAGTTGTAGTTGAACTCCTCAATGAGCTGATAGTCTTCCATGGCCTTGTCTATGGTCTCCTTGTGCTTCTTGATCTCAACAGGGATGGTGGCGATCCACTCCCGCATCTCTGTCAACTCCTCGATCGTGTTCGGCTTCTCGTGCAGCTTGCGAGAGATCAGTTTGAACTGCTCACACGACTAAACAACACCACTGATAAAATTTCATGGAATACAGTGCTGATTTAAGTTATCCGGACCAAACGCATTAAATTAGAAATTTGAAACGTGTTTTTCTCAAATTGGGTTGACTTTAGGTAAAAAATGATGAAGACAAAACTTGATTAAAATTTCAGCAGAACAATAATGGTGCAATTTATTTTGCAAAATTTAGGCACAAAAAGTTACCCCAAATATGCATCATTTTTCATTTTTGGCTGTTTAAGCTAATCAAAAACTACGCCGAAACAACTTGGTCGATCAATTGCATAATTGAATCAAAATGAGCCTCTTAAGTAGCCCAACAAACTTTAAGAAGGGTATACTCTCCAGGGTAGCAGAAAAGGTATACTCTCCAGGGTATAGCACGAACCGAGAATATTTGTTTTTTTAAATCAAACAGGACATACAACTCACAAAAGAGAAAAACAATTATATTATTTGCAGCGAATAACAGTCCTGAGCTATACAATTATTGCCTATAAGATAAGTTTTTAGACTGAGAAACTATCGTAGAAATCCAACATTTATTACAAAGTTCAATGTCTATTCAAAATTGCTTTTAAATGCCTCTGTAATAATCGGCCATACATATCTTTTTGATCATGCCAATTTATTATTGGCTTCTTGAAGACACCACTCGATAGGCAGCTAACGGGCCTTTTTGGTGTTCTTCCAGGATAGGGTTTTTTGGTGGTTGTGATTTGTGTAGAAAATAATAGAGTTTGTTCCCCACTTCAAAACGGAGCTTCGCGTCATTTTCGATACAACGTGAGCGTAGCATTGCAACCTACCGAAAGTACAATGAGATAGAAACAACTAAGTCGAAAAAAAACATCAAAAAAATCAGACAAGGAATACAACCACCAGCATTAAGCAAGCTTTTAGTGTTTTCCGAGCATTCACTGAGCCGACAACACGTGGTTAAACGCTAATCGATTCGGAAACAAAAGATGCCAATTGAAATTGTTGTCATATAAAAACAACATTTTTGTTTGGAATAACAAAAAGTTCAATCTCAAAAAAACGGACGAGAAATACAACCACGAGCAATAAACAAACTCTTAGTATTTTCCAAGCGTTTACTCAGTCAACAACACGTGATTAGATCCCAATTGATCCGAAAACAAATAATGCCAAAAGAAATTGTTGCCATATAGAAACAAAAACATTTTTTTTGGAAACACTAAAAAGTCAATCTCAGTAAAACAGACGAGAAATACAATCACCAGCATTAAACAAAGTTGTAATTTTTTCTGATCGTTCACTACTGAGCCAACAACACGTGGACAGACGCCAATTGATCCGAAAACGAAAAATTTTGAAATTCCAGAGAAATGCTGAGCCATTAAAAAGTTTTTTTTTAAACGTTTATACTAGCAACCCACCTGATTTGATCAAAATAAAAATCATAAAATTTTATCTTTCAGCCGATGCAAAACCATTTCACTAAACCAACGAATTAAGAGCCAAACTCCTTGAGGTGAATAAAATTTCTAAGCGAAAACAAAACAACAACAAAAAAAGAAAATATACGAGTCAGGGGTAGTAAAATTATAAAACCACAAGAGTTTATCAACGACACTTAAAATTACAACAAAAAAGCGCACAGCCTAAAAAATTGTGGTATGGCATTCAAGCCAACAGAATATAAATCGACAAACTATAATCCGTTTATTCAACTTTTCCCAGAAAAAAATTCAATTTCAGACACTGAAAAAAACAAGGTCCGGAAGGGATATGAAACCCAGACTATAGGTCGCAAAAGGAACCGCATAACCTTCAGGCATAAAAATTAGGGGCCTGAAAATTGAAAAAAAAATTGATAATTAAGCAGCTCAATTTCAATTACAAATGTGTAAGAAAAGTTGCTTACGGGAAAACAAGTCTATTTCCCGGTTAAAAGATATTTGCTCTCGCAAGTGTAACACATAAGCCAAGCGAAGCTTCGCGCCACTTGCAATAAAAACACAAACATAAAAATAAGAGCCAATTAAAAATCAAAAAATAATCCTAACAAATTAATCATAATAAATAACTTAAAAATGAAACGTCGAAAAAAATTTTCAGTAAAAAAAATGAAAAATGGTTGAAAAAAGTACTAGGTGAAACAAATATTTCGTATGTCTCAATTAAAGATAACTAGGGGCCCAGCTTAAGCTGAAAGTACGTGAATCAAATTTTTTCAATTTATTATACTGATGCGGTACGAAATGCGTTACTTCAAAATAGGACTTTGTTCAATCCTTAGTTGTTTATGTACAAAATTAACTGAGAAAAATGAAAATTTTGCAATAAAGAAACTTTCGAAGGATATCACATTTCGCTTACAAAAACTTGAGAAATCTCCACTTCTGCAGGAAAAATTCTTGCAACCAATTCTTTCGATTGAGCGTTACGTCTCAGATTCGATAGGGGGGCTTTTAAGAAAATTCAAAAAGTTTCTAAAAATGGTCAGATGTTCCAAAACTCGTTTTTCCGAAATCAACGAATTTTTTTCTGAAAAAGCATGTCTCGAGCGCTGAACTAGAGAGAAGATCCTAAACCTGTTTTCTCGATTGAACACTTAATGTGAGAATTGACACGGTAAGTCAAAACGGTTCCAAAAAACGGTAAAAGTCTCAAAACTTTGAGTTGTTTGAAGTCCATAATGTTTTCTTGAAGAAATTGGGCGTATCCAAGTATACACGTAGGCTTCCAAGCACCTCATGTTTTGATTACACTTATGATAACAAATTTGGCAGTATTGAGAAAAGACCAAAAAGGCTGTAGACAGAGGGGTTGAGTAAAAAAGACTAGGGAAGTAGTCAGACACACAGAGAGTAGAAGGTCTTCCCATTGGTACCCTCTGTTTTAAAAATTTGTTAAATCGTTTTTGAGAAAAACTAAACTTAGCAAAAAGTGAAAAAAATTTCCAAAGCGTATCAAAACAAACCAGAAAACCCAATCCGATACATTTTCATAATATCTGTTTTTATCAAACGGAAACTCTAGGCAAAGATGCTAAGCAAACATTTGATTTTTAAATTATTAACGAAAACAAATTTATGAAGCGGAAACAAAGCCGGCAATCTATGAAGAGACACCAGTTGAGCCGAAATTTTTTTTAAAAAAAAACTTTTAAAAGTTGCAAGTCCCCCCTGACACTACATACATAACACTTGACTTGCAACTACCATGATATTATCCGACAAAACAGATAAACGAAAGTCTGACAAATCAACGTTTATCGGAAAAAAATTTTCAATTGCACACATACTGAAAAAAATGACATCGCCCGGGCTTCGAACGAAAGACCTTAGGGTGCAAAGCATCGGCGTTATCTCTTGTCCCACTGGCAAGGACCCTGAGAATTGATAAGGTTCAGTAATAAAGCAAGTTGAAAATTTGTAAGAAAAGTAGTTTAGGGAAAAAGTCTACTTCCCGACTACAAGACACTTGCTTTCGCAAGTGTGACTATTTCCCATTAGAAGTCTGAAAATTTGCACACTTACGTCATCCGCTTGAACTCTGAGTTTCTTAGCCAGCAGTTCCAGCACAGCATTGGCCAGATCGCGACACTTCTTGGACAGGTTCTTCCTAACTGGCTCGACGTTCACATAGAAGGGTCCGATTACGACGTTGCTGGGCAACAGATTTTCCAGTCGCTCTTTCTCGGCCAGGAATCGATCCACTTCTGCTTTCACTTCACTCGCACTGTGCTCTTGGCCGTCGTACTCCCTAGCAGATAGCAGAATTATTACGTTATATTTATTATACTTTTAAAGCGTAATATGAACTGGCATAGAAATGTTGGGTTGTACCTGTGAAACTAATTTGGAAGGAAATGATCTCTACAATTTGAACACAATTTTTACATTAGACTCGCTTAGGTAATTTAATCCGCTTAAGTTAACCCAATCCCTAGGTGAAAACTGTCAAGTTAGATTTTTTTAGCTGAAACCTTCTTTGCTTCCTTGAGCTTTAAATTGAGGTTGGCGAGTTAGTCCAGGGGAGTCGTGAGATTTGAAAACTTTTCGAGGGATATCAATTAAAGAAAAACATATTCCTTAATTAAATCGCACCCAGATATATTCTAAAATCCACATCAAGATAGCTGGATCAAATTCAGCAGAGAAAAAAGAGAACTAGCAAAAGTAATATTTCAACAACATGGTGATTTTACCTTTCCAATCTAAAAATTATTTATTTATGACATTGTACAAATTTGTTTGATTTTGAGCATGGTTTTTCAATGAGCATGATTTTAGGGGTCCAGATCTGAGTATACTTATACGCTTTTCTGAAAAGAAAGCAATCATATTGATAAAAAGGTCTAATTCACTTTGAACAGACCAAGCATGAAATACACGTGGTAAAATTATAACCATGAACAAAAACTGCATTAACTCGCCAATGGTGTTTTGGTTAATAATAAATAATTACATGCACTTTGTAATACTACTAGTGAAGCTCGAAAAGTTAATAAACAACAAGTAAAATTCTTAAGAAACATATACTCTATTTAATCCTGAAAAAAAAAGTTTCAATTCCTGATAGTTTTGGAACCATTGAAAATATTTTCTGGCGTTTAAGGAAGTGATGGAAATGTTAAGTTTTAACGAAACAAAAAAACATACCGTCATTAAATAGTCACAGAGACTCGTTTAGAAAACAAAGCTTACATAGATTACAAAGAACTCAGAGATAGATGGCATATTACATGTCTGCATGTTGTAGTTCAACCGACTTCTCACTCTTTGTTTTCGGTTCAATCGCCGAAAATGTGGCCCCATTCTCTTTGCGACGGGTTCGGCAAAGACTATTCACAAATCAGTTCTCAGTATGGTGTAAAAGAATGTAAAACGTACGCCTACGTTATTCAAAGCATAATTTCAAATCATGTAAATTATTCGATAGGCAAAGCAAATCACAAAACTGAACTAAAATTGCCGTAGTTGAAATTGGGCTTCAGAAAAAAAAAATACCGAGCAGAATTATTCCCTCACTTTCTTTGCAAGTCAGAATCTTAAAAACAAAACAACTCCAAAATTGAAAACAAGCGTTTTATTGAGTCAAAACATAAGTGAATACATGCGGCCATAATTGATTGATTCCAAGAAATCTGTTAGTAAAAAATTGTCATAAAGCAGCGAAAACTAGGAAAGATAAGGTTGAACATGACAGCTTGTACACGCGCAAAGACCTGAATATTGTCATTTTTGAAAACCAAATATATATATATTTTTTAATTATTGCTTCAGCGCCGTGTTAAGTACGAAGTGGTATAGTTTTCATCTAGTAATCGTCATTTGGGCATTTGGGTCGAATCGCTCGGCTCAATTCAATTTCCAAAAATTTCAGAGCTGGATTAATTCTTCGCTTGCGCTACGCATTTAAAAACCCTTAATTGTCTGAATGCCAATTTATCTGTGACGATTAGTTGCTGGTAAAGAAAATTAAAAAACCATAAATTGTAAAAAGCCACAATATCAAATATCAAGTGTGAAAATTTGAGAAGTACGGATTTAAAAAGACCAATTGGCTTACTTCAATTCAATTTGCAGCAATTTTTTTTAGAGCGGCATAATTTTCCACGCTTAAAAAAGTCCAGCCCGCATAAATTTTTCAACAGCATGGTCAAAATGGCAATTTTCAAACCCCGGAAGCTTTACGAAAAAATCGAAAGTAAAATCATATTTGTATATTTGAACTCAGTGAGTCAAATTTCGAATTAGGTATAAAAACAATTTTCGGTAAAAACTATTATTCCGATATCCGAAAATTGACTGAATAAAAAACACCCCAAACATAAGTAATCCGCATTTCTTCGAAATAAGCACCCAATAATTTTACTAAATTGTCCAAATTTTAAATTTTGAGCTCAGAATATAGACATACTTTAGATGATATAAAAAATACAGCCACTCACGATTAGATAAAAACTCGAAATTTTTCAGGTTACATAAAAACTCGAAAATACCTACCCTAGCGCAAATAATCTGAAATTTTTTGGAACAGTAGCTCAGTAACCTTAACAGTAAGTTTTATGTTAGCCAAGAATTAAAACAGCCAGTAAACAAGGGGGGAATCAATGAACTCAAGAAACCAAAAAAAAACGACTGATTATTTTGAAACTACTGAAAAATATATATAACCTAAAAGCTATTTTGATTTTCAAGAATTTTTGCAAAATTAAACACTTAACAAGACTGCTCGTATCAAGGCGAAGCCCTGAATGTTCCGACTGCCTTTTAAGGTTTTATGAAGCAGTAATAACATTAAAAAATTAAATGTATTAAAATAAAATGAAATTTTTTTTATGAAAATCGCCCCACACGCCATATTAAGTAGAAAAGGATAGATTTCGCTCCTTGTAACAAATCAATTATGGCAAATAAGCTTCTTTCAACCAATTTCGAACGATTTTAAGACGGATTAACTCTCGCTTACGCGTTAATAGCGCGAAATATATCGCGAGTTAATTGTCCCAAATTGGCCAAAATGGCAATCTTTAAACCCCCATAATGTTACGAAAAATGATCACAGGTGAAATATCTTTTCAAATTTGAGCTCAGGGCAACAATACCTTTTGAATGATATTTAAAAAATCCATCAAAAATGGCTAGTTAAAAAGTCGAAATTGTCTGAAGAAAAAAAACCCCACCACGAGCACAAATATTCCGTTACTTTCGTATCGAAAGTCGGAACAATAAAAAAAATAGCCGGGTCAAAAATTCTAACTATCCCGCTGGGAACTTTGAAAACTAAAATTTATTTTGAAACTTAAAAACATTCAAGTTTTTGTTCGCGCCATTTTCACTTCCACTATTGAAGAGCATAATTAGTCTTCCAATTAGGTTTTTAATTTAAATAGATTTAAAAGGAAACCAAAAGTCAAATAGTGAAGAATTAAATTTAAGCGTGAATAAGATTTATAAGTTTTTCCTGAATAAAAAAAATAATAACATTGAAATAAGGCCCACTCCACTCCGTTCACTGACATCTAAAAAGAAACAAAATGCCACAATTTGAGTCTTAAACTTGAACCATAGCAAAAAATAGCCAAACTAAAACTGAAAAAGATAAACATAATGAAATATCAAATTGAAGTTCAAAACAAAGACGCTACAATAACATCTTATGATGTCAACTATGATGGTGTCATATTGCTATAGCCTTACTTGATGTATGCCTGTATGTCGGTGTTGATAAGTTCCAGGAACTGTTCGTGTGCCCTGGCATATCCTATCAGAGGGATCTGAGCCTGTCTGATTGCTCTGACCATATCATCTCTCAGCTGGTCTATGTGTTTCTCATGTTCGCCCACTGATTCGAGGAGTGCAATGTCCGCCCAGAAAATATCCTTCATCACAAACTAAAACAAAACAAAGATAGTCGGATACTGTGCAAGTAACACAGAATGTTTCCGCCACAGCTTTTTAAGTAATAAATTCAAAAACTATAAAAAATTGAAACTTATTTCATTTTTGCGCCATGTTTTCTTTCGTTTTTTTTCAGCAAGGGTGATTGAATTAAGTTGAAAAGGTGCAAAAATTAGAGCAATTAGTGACTTCTATTATTTGTGAGGTTTCAATTATTGGCGTTTAAACAACTAAAACATAGTCCATAAGCAACTAAGAAATTCATACCGGACGCAAATGTAATCAATTTTAATAGTGTAGAAAATTGTAATAAAGAGCGTTAACTTGGGGTCTTTCAACTTAAACGGCTCATCTTTGAAAATTCAGAAAATGAGAAACATGAATTAAGATTGCTTGCATCTGATAGGTTGAAATTAAATAAAAAACCAATAAACTTGGTTCAATTATTCATTCGTTTACATTTACATTATTTTTAGAAGGTTATTTTTAGGTTTTAGAAGACAGAGAAACTTACTTTTTCTAGCTGTGGCACTTCCTGTGTGGACTTGATGGCAGAGTCGAACAGGGACACTAGCATGCTCTCGAAGTGGGGCAGATTGACATTGTAGTGGGATCCCTCCTGGTCTAATGCCAACTCCACGGAGAACAGGGGGTTCTTCTTAGGCCTACACAGATCACGTACGTAAAGTTAACAAAAGGAATTAGTTAATTATAGTTATTATTGATCATGACTGGCTCTTTTAGAATTTGAATGGAATAAAGTTATTTAATTGATGCAATTCAAACGGAGCCAGAGAAACGAATGAAGCAAGATATTCAAAAACAAAATATCCATACAATCAAACTCTATAAACGCAATTCTGTCAATCTACGAAATTGATGAATGAGAGCTGAAATCAAAAATTTCCAACATGTAAGCATTATCGGACAGTTTTATGTTTGATCAAATAATCCCTCAGAAAAGTGACTTTTTTGGGCCAACATATTGTTTCTGGGATTGCGTTTCGCAATAGATCCAAAATTCTGATTTCGAATCATGGCTCCGCTTTATTCTCTTGAAAACATGACAGCTGAGAACAAATCACAATGGCAAACTCAATCCATGCAATTTGCGCAAACTCGTGATTTCACAACAATCTCTTTACTCACGATAGATTATTCTCGTCTCGGCTTTCTTCAAACTCATCGCTAGCAGAAGACAGTTTGTTTCACAATTCGAAACTGATCATTTAAAAACTTGAAGAACGAATTACGCAGCTCAAAAAATTAAGTGATGCTTGATGAAATGTCAATAGATAATTTGCACCTCACAATGATGACTTTCGTTTGCTGATTTTTAAGATCGCCAAGAGCTAATTGTTAAATTAAAAAAGACGCGAAAGTTTTTATCGGCTTCTTGGATATAGAACTGATCATCCAATAAAAAGACTACTTAATTATTTTTAAGAGCAAACAAATTTGCAGAGGTTAGTTGGAGCTGATTTTAGAGGGACCGTTTTTGAACTCGATTTATCAAGTAAGTGCAGGGGCGGATCTCGGATTATCTCAACGGAGACGAACTTTCACAAAAATTTGAAAGTTTTGGCTAGAAAATAATGCATTTTTCCGCGTTTACCCTTTCAATTTAGTTTATCTTGTTGTCCACGACACAAGGGTAGATCTAAGATTTTCTCGAGGGTAGCGAGCGGCGGATTTTCAAAAAATTTTCGAATTTTGTCGACAGTCTTTTTTTAGGTCGACCAAATTGATTTTTACGAGCACTCCATTGAAGAAAAAAAACAGGCCAAAAAAAGGTCTTTTCAGGCACTTTTCGGAAAATTTTGGCCAAAGAAATTGCGTTTTTTTGGTGCGCGCCCCCCGTTAAAATAAATACATATTGGCGCCTCTAGAAAAATTTTAAGGTTGGTCGGCTAAAAAAGGATGACGTAAAATAATACCAAATGTGGTACCCTTTGATTGGTGAGTGAGTCGAATCTCTGAATCCCCCTAAATCCGCCCCTGAATAAGTGCATTGACTCTTTCGGTCAGTTGAGTTTAAGTTGAACAAGCTGGGCGATAATTCCATCTATGAAATGTGATGATGATTTCTCACTTGAAAGGGGATGAGTGAAGGGGCGTGTCCCAGGTGAACTCCTTCTCGTCCAGTTTGAGAGTGGCCACAGAGGCGTCCACTATCATCTGCACAAAGGACACCAGACTGTCCTGCACCAGGAACCGCAGAGAGTCCTACCCAGTAAATACAAACAAATTAGCAATCAGCGTGGAACAGTCACTAGAATCACTGTCACTAGAATCTACGAGGTTTCGTGGTGGTAGTTTTTGTTTCGAGATAATCGATGCTCGAGAAATACTTGTCGCCGTGCCAGAGAGTTTCTTTAGTTCTACAGAAGCACGATTTATAAGGGGATACATATTCTTTGGTAGGGCGGATGTCGGGAAGGAGAAAATTTGCAGGAAAGAGACAGTTTACCAATTGATCTCGCAAAAGCCAACTGTTTGCTTGAGGAGTGGAAGATGATAACTTGACCCACTCTTTGCAAAGTTTTAAATAATACATTGTGCTCATTTTTTTTTTCATTTCAATTTTTAATTCTGCAATCAGATCAAAATCAACTAGCCTGCATGCAGAATTTGACCATCTCCATGAACTTTTTCAACTTCGAAATTTGGTACACTTCCCAGTTGGTCTCGTATAGATTGAACCAGCCACGGCCCACGTCACGAAGAGCTGCTCGAATCTCATTGGTCAACGAGTTCTTCCACTGGTCTTGTAGGAACAACGAGACTGTTGACGTCATTTGATCTTGGGTCTGAACAAACTCCTCTACTTTCATCTGCTTCAGAATGGGCACGTGGAAAAGGCATTTTCCCGACACTTCGTTGCACTCCGCGCGCACTTTCATGATGGCGGCGATTGCTTCTGTCCGAGTGAGAATGGACTCGAAGGTGAAAGCGTCGAACTTGGCGGGGAAATCAACTTCTGGCACGTCTGGGTGGCGACCTAAGTCGTACATGTTTTCAAACAATCCGCAAAACACTTTAATTAGTTTCAATACTTAACGTATATAATTTGAAGAAGCAGAATAAAAATAGGCTTGAAGCAAAAGTTAAATGGGACAAAAACCTATCAGGTTGAAAAAGACTTTTAGAATCGGTATCTTCTTCTTTGGAATAAACGTTCTTAAAGCCATTCAAAAATTTCCATTAAAATCTTACTCATGGCAACCAGTTTAGTTACTACTCCTCGTATCTAGGTTTAGAAATGACCTTTGTTGACCCTAAATAGAGACAGCTCATTAAAATCAAATGAGAAAAAAAAACACTCACCTTTGACTTGTACAGTTTGAAGTTTGTCCGCTTGCTCTTTTGGCAGTTTGATGTAAGGATAAGTGGCCTGGTTCTTAGCCACTATCTTGTCAAAAATGAGTCTGTTCAGAGTACGAGTGAAGTCTATGTTGATCTCGTGTCTCAGTCCCGGGAGAACTGACTGTAATTCCGAGTTGTTCTCCAGCGTCGACTGTTTCGAGAAACACGGGGTTTCTAGAGCGAACTTGCACATTCGTTTGAATGAATCATCGTCCAGCTGAACAAAATATTCAATTTTATTAGATTTAAATTGAAGTGAATTAATGAATATTATATTCACCAAAAGAATTAAATAATATCGTATATGACTTATGAAGTGTGAAAAAAAAATGTACACTGTTTTGCTTCGCAAATGTTTCAAAGAAGGAATCTTACTGTTTTGCTTAAAAAATTTGCTAAAAAATTTTAAAAAAATTAATTAATTCAAAAACATGCCAAAAAAAAACACAAAAATCAAAGCACGCAATACATAGGCAGACGACAATGGAGTAAAAAACTGTTATTCAAAACTTAAAAAAAGTTGTCGTAAAAAATTGCCAAAAAGCTTAAAAACCAAAAAGCTTTGAAATTTTGAAACTCCAAGTTTTTATGCCACTCAGAAAGCTTACACAAAAAAGTGTTTTCACGTTTGAAAGGATGTATTAAGATGCAACTAAATCCATGTCAAATAAATCAAAACCATTTGAATCGGATAAATATTTTAAGCAAAACAACGAAAACAAAAAGAAAAATGAAATTACAAAAAATCTTGGCTGATAAATTTACAAATTATAGGAAAAAATCAAACTGAATTTCAAGTTAAATTGCTTTAAGTAGAAGAAAAATCTAAACTCTGGAAATTACACCGAGAAAAATAAGCAAACAAACAGTTCACCCAGCATTTTTGTCGTCCCGAGCATGAGTGTTACCGCTAGGCTAAATGTGCAGATACTGTCATTGATGAAATTTCTCATGAAACGGTTTTCTGGTCAAAATTTTGCTCGTCAAACTCAAGCTTAGCGAAGAACGCAGACTCTGTTTAAGTATGATTGCACAATTACACAGAGGTCAAGTGGAGCTTCGCACTACTTGCTACTCATCTACCAAAATTTCCTATCACGATTTGTTTCAGATGATGTTCTGTTAAGATCAATTCTGTTCTGTTCGAGAAGGACTATTGTAGACCTTAAGCTAGCAGAAGAACAAAAATTGCCAACATTACACAGCGCAACTAGGCCAAAAATACTTGGGTAGACCACAGTTCCGGCAAATAAATACGCCCCGATAACATGATCAGAAAAAAATGAAATTTGAAGTTAATTAGCCTTCTCACCAAAAAATTGACGCAATTTGAGAATACTAGGCTGATTTAAACTTTGCTATCTGAAACTATCAATTCAGTCTCGAATTCGAACACACTTTACCACTGCACTTCTGGACCTACATTTTCCAGGGAACTAAGAAACCAAGCTATCACATGATTCAAGTGATTTTGTGAAACAATTTCTTTACCTGGAAAAAGTCTATATTGTGATTTGATAATGCTTGTCAATACAGACACGAAACGAAGCTTCGCAGCCTTCGCGATACAACAATGACATGGTAGCATGACAAAAGAGCTGATTGAAAATGAGACGAAAGCCGCTGTCAAAAAGTTATTTTTATGTTCAAAAAATCTTTATTTATTTTTATGTTTATTTAGCAAAATTTTCAAGTATTTGTCTCGAATTCTTTAGAATAAAAATCCTTTTGAGAAATATATGCCGATCAAAACAATTATATGTTAAATAAGCGCCGCAACGAAACTTGCGGGGCGGCAAAAACCGGCACAACTTGAGCAGACACTCGATGATCCGAAAAACCATTTAAAATCCCATTCAAAACACAAATGCATGATAAACTTATTTTTTTCATCGAAAAAAAAGCAATATGAGGCATATAAGCGATTATCACATAAACCTTGAATTATTTAGCTAGATGACTACAAAAAAAATTATTATAATTATGTCAAATCGGAGTTGGTAAAACAGTTTCAACACAGAGGCGAAGCTGCGCTTCGCAAGAACAAGCGAGGATAAGAGCTGTAAACAGGCAAAACAAAATGAAATTAAAAAAAAAAGATTAAGAACACACTTTGAAAAACAATTTGTTGAGATTAGGAGTATCATGTTCTCTGCTCCACAACCGCTTGCACATTCATCTGCTCCACAACCGCTTGTATTTTCTAACACTATTCACCAATAAAAGAGCTATAAATTATGTCAATTTGTCAACTTAATACAGCAAAAATCCGACCCAAAAAAATAAAACTATTTAAATCTTCCAGATTTGAAAATCCGACCGGTTGATTATGAGTCTCACGTCCTCGCATCTGCACCACGGTCACTTGGAAGTAAACTAGTGACCCAGCTAACGCTGGATCTATATGTGGCCCAGCTAACGTTAGATCTACCTGTGTCCCAGCTAATGCTAGATCTAATATTTTCAATTATATATTGTACTGATACGGGAATGTTTAATGTTCGAAATTTCAAAAAAGTGGACTTTAAGCTAAACCCTAGTGTTTCTCTGCTTAAGTATTTGATTAACTGCTTAATTACAGGAGAAAAACTACTACTTGCTCTTTCAGTTGAGAAAATTATCTTGAAAAGATTTGGCTGGATAGTTTTTGAAAAAAAAACTTGAAAAGGATTCCAAAAATCGATCAAACATGTGACTGTTCCTAAACACATACACTTTTCCAAAATTTGAAAATGAATTATTCCAAAGTCCATATCACCTTTTCTACAAAACGAACTGGAGAAAAACAAAAACGCGGGGAAAATATAAGTCGATTGTTAGTTTTAATGAACTATCAACCTCAGAATTAGCAGGTTCGTTTTTGAAAAAAAAAAATTTCAAAAATTGGATATTTTGTAAGGCCATGACTTTTTTCGAAAGCAGGGCATAGCCGTTTGCGCAAATAAGATTTGCATACCTGATTTTTTTCTTTCGGTTGAACTCCTAATCTCATATTTGGCAGGGCAGTTTTTGAAAAAAGTCAAAAAGTTTTAAAAATTAACAAAATGTCAAGAAATGGGCTTATTTGAGGCCATATCTTTTTTACCGAATTTACCGAATAGCCGCCTGAGAAGGGGAGATCCCTATAATCTCTTCTTTCGATTGAAACCTTCATCTCAGATTTGTGCATTTAATATTTGAGAAAAGGAAAGAATTTAAAACAAATAGGCCAAAAATCCGACTACTGAAACTTTCGAAGGCTGTAGAACGTGACGTAAAATGAGAAAAGGAAACAAAAAATTCAGGCACATGATAGAGAAGCCGGTTTTTCTATTGGTACCATTTTTTTGAAAATTGTAAATAGTTTTTCAGAAAAATTGAAACTTCTAAGGAAAGTGCAAAAAATTTCTAAAGCGTCGCAAAAAAAAAAACGAAAAACAACAAAGTTCGTGCATTTTCATAATACATGTTCTTTTTCAAACCGGACCTAAAACTAGCCAAAAACAAAGCAGCAACATATGCCATAAAGTTGTCTATGCTTCGTAAAAATACAATACGCTTCGCATGTGTAAATAGGTCGGGTAATTAAATTGAAGACAAGCTCAAAAATGTCTGTTGGTTGAAGTAAGCTGATTTAAACAGTTCAGATGAGAAAATGGATGAGTGATTTTGTTAGAGTTGTTTAATTGTCAAAAAATGTGTTCCGATTTGATACGGTTGATTGTCGCGAGCGCAATTCTACTTCAGAAAAAAGACATAAAAAAGAAGAAATTCAAAAAGAGACGTACAGTTAGCAACTTTTTATTGTAATCAATTTTTGCAATTATCGCTTTGGTTGGATCATTTTGAGCGACCTATACAGCGACCTACATCTACTGGTAACTTTTGGAGTAATTATCAAAACTTTGAGACAAAGAGAATTTTTTTGGCCTGTATGCTCACATCTGTGACTCCATCCATGGGCATGCAATCTAGGTAGAGGTGGTATCTCAGATGCGATTCTGTCTGATGTCTCTCCTCGAATGCCTCCTTCACTCTGCGCGCAAACATTTCAGGGTCCTCGCTCTCAAACATGACCTGGATTCGGGGTACCCAATACTGCGAAGCAGATAACTGCACGCCTAGCAACAGAACAATAACTCAAAAAGTTTTTAAAAAATTAATCTTCTAATGATCGGGTTTCTGACATCTTGTAACACGATTTAGTTTTTTTTACAATTAGCAGATATAATGAGATTCCACTTCCCAATTTCCAGAAAAAAAAATTCCAGAATTAAATATAGTATCTCGTTTTCAGAGTATGGACTTACTGTCAGGCGTTGCTGAAGACATGTCGCTGAGGGCCCGCCCATTGTCAGACGCAATCTTCCCCTTCGAATTCACTTTTTGAACCAGGAAGACTTCCTTTACCGAGTCATAAGACAAGACTCCAACTTCGAACCAGTCATACTCAATCGAGGGATCCTTGGGGTCCACTAGAAAAAAAATAGTGCATTCATCAACAAATTTTTTAGTTTCACATAAAAAACTCTATCAAATAAACTGGTCTACACAAAGTTTTGAGCTTGAATCATCAAAATATTCCAGACAAAAGCTTGCAGTATAAAAATAAATATCACAAAAATAGCCATGTTAAACATCATGTTATGGATAGATGACAAAACAAATCCATTTTTCTTACTCACATTTGGGCAATTCGTCTTTCTGTGGTAACAGACACATGGCAGGAACTGGTTTATGGTTGCCAGAAGAGTCCAGTCCCGATTCCACCCACTCTCCGGGCGTCCTTGAATCATACTCGGTGTTGTCGAATATGTGCAGCGGCAGGAAAATGGGAAAAGGATTTTCGGGATCTGACTGCATGCCTCGAGAAAATTCACTAGGATTCACTCGTTTTGGCATTAGTTTTTTGGTGTCAATGCTTAGCTGTTTGAGCAATTGAGGTAGCGATGATGAATTGTATTTTCGCTTTTTTCTGAAACGAAGGTAAATATATTTAAATTTCGCAGACTGAAGCATATCTGAACACACTTATCTAAGAAAGAAAATTCGAAAGACGAGAATTTTTTTTCAAATACAGAAAAAAAATTACTGAATTATTTTTCATTTTTTCCCTAAAAATTTCGTTAGAATTTAGCAAAAGGTCAAAATTTTAGTACTAAAATAATGTTAAAAAACTAGTAGAAAAAACACCCCGTACGAGTTTTTGTTGAGAATGTTGAAATCAGGAAGAAAAAAACAGGCCCTAGGTCATAATTCCTTCCCTTTACTTCGTGAAGAGGTCGGACCAAAAAAACAATTGGTACATCTATCGGAAAAATTTTAACACATTTTTCTCTCGTATTCTTTTGCCGAATTTATTTTTCTAGCAATCTATTACTGCTTTTACTGTTCACAACAAGTCTTTAAAATTACCGCTCAATTTCCACTTTTCTGGGACATTGCCCGGGTAGAACGTAGAATGGGACTTGAACTTTCGGTTTGTAACTTCCCTCTGTGAAATCGGAATCTCTGAACACCTGCGTGGTTCTTTTAGGCCTGCTCTGGTTAAGTTTTTCATTTATGTCTGCAACAGGTGTAAAAGATGAAGCTGCCGGAGTATGCTTTTCAGTTCCAACTTCAGTTTGCAATGGTTGCAGTCGTCGAGCACCATGACTTAGCCCCTAAGACAATCAAAAACTTGACAATAAAAATGTCAAACCTGGTAAAAACAAAAACAAAAACAAAAAATTTCAAAAATTGGTTTCGGTATAGTGAAATTTAGAATAACTAGTTGGAGAAAAAAATTAGAGACAAACAATTTCTGATCAGAACCGAGAAGGACAAATATATTTTGAAAAACTCACTCCAAACAATGCTTCATTCTGTCTGTTGAGGAGCCGGTTTTCATTTTCAGAATCCAACACATCAGAATAAAAGCCCCGTTCTTGAATTACTGGATATTGGATAGGGTTTCCATCAGCAGTCTCAATATTAGACAGAACAGGTCCGTCGGCTTTTGGTCCAGCCGAAACTGGTGGACGGAGAGAGGACCCAGCTCTTTTAATTCTTGAGCTGGACGGTGGCCTAGGGGTATGAGCCCCCGGCTTTGGATTTTCGCCTTTGGGCATTTCAGGTTCTAGGTCTATTCAAACACGTCTTTTGATTAAAGCCAAACTTTCTGAAATGATAATATAGCTTCATGTTTGAAGCTAGTGTAGATCTACAGTTCTAGAGCTTATTCGGTGAATTCCCCGATATCTTAATTTTCATAGGGCCCGAAATAAATAATCATTCGCACAAATCCTATTTTTTTTCTTAAATTCTAATTAATTGAAATTTGAGCCACGATTAGCTCGATTGTTTGTTTTTTGTTCGAACAGCATAAAAGCAAGCGGCAGAATATTGCGCCAACGATATACTAGCTTGCAAGCAGAGGGTGTGACTCTATATTAGAACCGGTTATCGCCGCGAAGCGGCTACTCCCGAGTAGCGCGCCCACGGGCGAACTTATACCAAGACTCTTAACCGAGACTCGGCTAGAGTGATCTTTGACTAATTGAAAAGACTTTGGACTTATGCGACTACTTTTTGGGACCTATAATTACGCACCACCTATTCATCATTTCTTTGTGGTTTTTTTGTCAACTAGATGAAAAATCTAGCGCAACTTCACTGAAACAAATCAACCAACTCTCCTTTTTATAGAAAACATGCATAAAAAATTGGTGTCGACTAAAACAGTAATTTTTAGTCGACATGAGAGAGAAAGAGAAAGTTCCATAAATGCGCAAAAGAGTGATACCTATGCATCACAGAAAAACGTAATTGGTTAAATAGGGTTTAACAAGCGTCAAAAATAAATGACATTTTAATAAAATAAAATAAATTAAAATTAATCTAAAATTAATTTGGTCAAGAACTAAAATCAAGTTGACTAACAGTGTCAATGTTGATTAATTCAGCTTATCTGCACAAGATAAGGCACGTCAACGCAACACTCAAATCTGCATGGTTAACGTTGAAAAACACTATTGGAAAACATTGACCGAATAAATTTCAGTCTAGATCAAATTAACGAAAATGAGTTTTCAAAAACGCTTTTTTTCACGAACATTTCTTTTGGCGAAATTTTAATGCCGTTAATAAACATTACTTGCTACTTTTTGTAGAGCAATGTATGATGAAATATTCCGTAACAGTTTGCAGTAGGAGTTGTAATTTTGAAAACTTCAAACATGTCAAAATTTTCGACTTAAAAAACTTTCATGGAAAATAATGCGCCGCTCTCTAATTCGAAATATTCAATTGACTTTTATGCTCTAATTTTTTTGATTCGGATTTTGCCGATCAGGACAGGACACCCATTATCCGTTTGAACAAAAAATGTACAGAAACAGTTCAGAAACTATCTAGACGAGCTCTCAACAATTTAGAAGGTGTTTCTTGTGTTTACAATAAGGTTACTAACTCGATGAGTTGTTTTCGACAAATATGATGTTATTTGATGTACATATTGATTATGAAACTCTCAACTAAAAAAAATTTAATTTACAATTTGAAAAAAAAAAATTTTTTGCGACTTTAAAGAAAGTGAAAAAAAGTTGACTCCTCTTGACTTTTGACGAAGAAAGATTTATACAACAATTAAGAAACCAAAATGCAACTATAAAACTAAACAAGATTAAAGCGATACTCTACAGAAGTAAAAGTATAAAGGATAAAGTTAAAGCAAAAGGATAAAGCTTAACGAAGCGGGCTCAGTGCCTTCAAAGAAAACAATGTCAAATGAACAGTTTCGATGCTCACAAATCCCAATAGAACATGAAGTTCTGATTGACTCAAATCCTGAAGCCAACCAAAAAATTGAATTCAAATCAGCACTGATGGGCAATCTGTAACAAAGAGAGAAAATCCAAAACATCTACAACCAACCGAGACAATAGAAAAACTCAAATTTTGACGGTTGTCGCTACCCCAGAACCAGAAGCTTTTCTCAAGCATAAAGAGTCAAGGGCTGCTACTTTTGTGCAAAACTGTGTTACAATAGAACTCCTAATAACAAGATCAAATAGAATCTAACCGAAATTAACCAGGATGAAAATAACAAATCTGCCATTAGTATCATAGTAACCGAGATAACAGTCAGGAGTCCCTTCATCACGTATTCCAGTCAAAATCCTTCACTGTCAAAATCCTCGGATTTTTGCGATTTTAAAGAAAGTGGCTCTTGTTCCTTTTCCCCCCACCATCAAATTTTTACATGTAAATTTGTTGACTACATTGTCCGATTGCTATGAAAATTTACACACAGACTAATAAGGCCATGACAAACATAATTGATCCTCATACTCAACCTCGTAAAACCACTCGTTACACTAATATATTGAAGATCGTGTGAGGTGGGGGGTAAGGGAAGGAAAAAGAGCCAAGAAAGTGTACAGCAAATAAAAAAAATTGACTGCTTTTTGATTTTTGACGAAGAAAGATTTATACAACAATTAAGAAACCAAAATGCAACCAAAATACTAAACAAGATTAAAGCGATACTCTGCAGAAGTAAAAGTATAAAGACTTTATCCTTTATACTTTTAAATCGGGTAGGTTTTAAAAGTTGTTACATTCGCCCAAGTACTACACAGTGACGAAGCGTAAAAAAAGTACCTATTGACGACTGGCCGGCTTCAGTTACCTAGATTCTACTCATTTTTCACCGTCTCGACCTAGCCAGTTGATTTTCTGATCTGTCTAGGGCTAAGTAAAAAGTTACCATTTTTAGGCCATCAGTCAAACGACTTTTAATCAGCTTCCGTTTACATGCGAATATAACCACATAAATGGGTCTCGGATACTCAGACTACATGATTGCTATTAAAAACACGGCTCGAATATCCTATTTTACTATGTTTTTGGTGACAGTTCTACGTTAATTCCATTGGAGATGGATTGCACTTGCCTCTTTCTAGCTACTCATATTCTAAAATATCAAAAAATACCGGTGTTAATTCAAAGGTTTATGGCAAAGGAAGTAGCTACTTATTATTTGTAACACTTGTATATTATAATTTCTCGTATCGAGTTGCGTGTTCTCATTGAAAAAACGTAACCCGTATCGATTTTAATTGAAAAGGACTTAAGCACTTGTCATCTTTTTTTTTATCATTATCACTTCCATATCTAGAAAATTTCCCAGGATTTTGACTGGAATACGTGATGAAGGGACTCCTGACTGTAACCTCGGTTACTATGACACTTTTGACTTTCTGATTACCTATAACCATTGGCTCAAAAGTCAGGGACACTATCTCTTGTGTTTTTCCACCTCGAACGGTCGGAGCCAATTCGCTTCACTTGCGACATGAGACTAAAAACCCGTTACAGCTTAAAGGCCACTACCAAAATACCCCCCCCCCCGACTCTTTATTCTGTGGTGGGATCAATTTGTGTATCACGTCCAAAGTTCCTAGGTCCTCATCTTTTGTTGGTGTTAGCCTCACTCGTTCCGTGACTTCCTCAATCAAGCTTGCATGGGGATGGGGACACCAGGAGGGTCTCAGCGATTTCCAAACCGTTCCCAAATTCGTAGTCATCATGCCATTTCCATTCCCCATTCTCAATTCCACTCTCTTGCTCGAGCGCGGTACGCTTATCAACTTGGGTGTCGCCTCAAGTAGCAGGCCTAGGCTCGACATAACAATCATAAAACACACTCAAGAAAACTAAATTGAGTACTCACATGTCGGCACACTCGGGAATTGGGATAACTAAAGTAATCAGTAGCTCTAGCATTAAGTTTAATAACTTGAGAAGTTTGCTATTAATAAATTCCAGGAAGGGAAATAAGTTTTGACTCGAGAATTAAGTTTTGGAACTGGACCATTGGGATACCCCAGCTGTCCACCTTTCCACTGAAGGTTCACTCTGGTTCATTTCTTCTTTATCTTTGCTCTGTTTACAATCGCTCTGCTTCCTATTCAGGATAGGACAGCTCTGTTTGCGTTTGATTTATATCTGGAAATTGCGAATAGCAATTTCCCGCTGCTTTTTTTCAGGACTTTCCTGCGATTGTAATTCGGTTCTTCTGATCATGTATTTCTGAGATTTTCAGTTTTTGAGAGAAAATTGAGCATGACAGGCTCAATTCGAAATTTTGAAAAATTTAATTTCATCCCAAAATTACGTAGTTCGTATTCCTCAAGGTCAAACTTCCAAATATGACCGACTGGCACATACTCCCCGGACTCAAGATCGTTGTCCTCATCGCGTGTTGCCGTCTGCCAGTGAATCCTCAGAGTTCTGAGTGTAGCTCAAGATACAGTGCCAGTGGTCATTTACAGAAGTTTGCAGCAGACTTAAGTTTATCTATACCCCAAAATTCACAACCATGTAAAATTGTCACACTATCGCTAAACAGCAATCAAAATCTGCATACACCTGCACTTTTAATTCCTGCTTTGCGAGCTAATGATTTAAAAAAAATTTTGTCCTATCCAATCAGGAAATTGTCATGCAACATTTTGATTTATATAAAAATTATATTAATAACAATACTTTGTTTCGTTAAAATTTCTTTTTTGTGACATCGGATTCCATCCGAGTTCACACTGGAGCCCCTTTTTTTCCTCTCAAGACTCAAGAAACCCACATTGAGCTCCCTGCTCACTTTGTATCCCTAGCCTTCGAGGTGCTAGGCCCCGATGAGTTTGACACCGTGATCTGCCTTAGCAGCAGTTCCTCATCATCAGAGCTGATCATGATCTCTTCCCACGCTTTCAATTGCTCGAAGGATCGCATCCACTCCCTCTGTTCCTGCAACCTCTTTGCCTGATTTGGTAAACGTTTCACTTTCAATTCCCTGTTCAAGCAAAAGGAATTGTGCAGGTTAAGCTCACGTTCTTCGCCAATTCCTCCTCCAGTATCGACTCTCTCGCTTTGGTATTGTCTCTAGACACCCCACCGACTCTTTTCCAACCTGTCGTGATCGCATTTCGATGGGTCAACAGAGGTCTCTTGAAGGCTTCCGGTCCTATCTCTGCCAGGAACTGCCGATATTCTTTTCTATGTTTTTTCATGTGGTCTTTCGTCATCATATACAACCAAGATGTTAACGTCGCTCGAAACCACGGGAAGAATCTCACGCGGCTCCATACGTGCCTGATCTCCATGGGTATGGCGAATAC